CACTAATGTCTCTGTCACCTGCCCATGCACAGTGTCGGGCACTCGGCTAGCTAGTACACTAATGTCTCTGTCACCTGCCCATGCACAGTGTCGGGCACTCGGCTAGCTAGTACACTAATGTCTCTGTCACCTGCCCATGCACAGTGTCGGGCACTCGGCTAGCTAGTACACTAATGTCTCTGTCACCTGCCCATGCACAGTGTCGGGCACTCGGCTAGCTAGTACACTAATGTCTCTGTCACCTGCCCATGCACAGTGTCGGGCACTCGGCTAGCTAGTACACTAATGTCTCTGTCACCTGCCCATGCACAGTGTCGGGCACTCGGCTAGCTAGTACACTAATGTCTCTGTCACCTGCCCATGCACAGTGTCGGGCACTCGGCTAGCTAGTACACTAATGTCTCTGTCACCTGCCCATGCACAGTGTCGGGCACTCGGCTAGCTAGTACACTAATGTCTCTGTCACCTGCCCATGCACAGTGTCGGGCACTCGGCTAGCTAGTACACTAATGTCTCTGTCACCTGCCCATGCACAGTGTCGGGCACTCGGCTAGCTAGTACACTAATGTCTCTGTCACCTGCCCATGCACAGTGTCGGGCACTCGGCTAGCTAGTACACTAATGTCTCTGTCACCTGCCCATGCACAGTGTCGGGCACTCGGCTAGCTAGTACACTAATGTCTCTGTCAAATGCCCATGCACAGTGGCGGCAACTCGGCTAGCTAGTACACTAATGTCTCTGTCACCTGCCCATGCACAGTGTCGGGCACTCGGCTAGCTAGTACACTAACGTCTCTGTCACCTGCCCATGCACAGTGGCGGGCACTCGGCTAGCTAGTACACTAATGTCTCTGTCACCTGCCCATGCACAGTGGCGGGATCTCGGCTAGCTAGTACACTAATGTCTCTGTCACCTGCCCATGCACAGTGGCGGCAACTCGGCTAGCTAGTACACTAATGTCTCTGTCACCTGCCCATGCACAGTGTCGGGCACTCGGCTAGCTAGTACACTAATGTCTCTGTCACCTGCCCATGCACAGTGTCGGGCACTCGGCTAGCTAGT